TCAAGAACCGTCACGCAATTATGGAGGTCTGGTCTGCACAATCAAAATGGTTGGGCGTAACTGAAGAGGAATTTTCTATGAAATCAATAGTTTTGGGGTCAAATCGTAATTAGCCATAAGTATGAGGACCAGAGATGCAAAAAGAGAGAATCCACCATTGGTGATCCTCGTTCGTGCTCCTCTTCGGTCCGTGACGGCGAGCGAGCCAGCGACGATGACGAAAGAAGATCTGGGACTTGACGGCCACGAAGGAGCAAGACATGCCAACGAATGGAGAGATGGCTTGAGCTTGATGGCGATGATGATGGAGAAGAAGCTCGACGTAGACAGATGGTTAGGTCACCGCGGGTTTCTGAGCACGGCCGTGGAGGATCCAGTGATGAGAAGCAGCAGTGGGACGTATATGGACCTGAGGAAGACGATGATGGTGTAGAGATGAAGCCCGAAGGTGTGAAGAGATACGGCAAGGCCGCCTGCAGCTGCGCAAGCAAAGATGAAGTAAACTTTAATTGTAAAACTCATTTTGATTGGGCTTAACGGGCCGTTTCACATCAAACAAATCGGATTTAGAAAAATTAAGTCCAACATTTCCCAAAGGCGTGCTGACGTGGCGAAACGAAATATCTTGATTGGTTGATTATTTTTGCTGATGTGGACACGCTAGCTGTGGCTCCTATTCTACTTTTATTACTTGTTTGATAAGCTTTTCCATAATAAGGCATCTCATTGATGAGATAAACTTTGCTAAATTTGTAATGATTAGAACCATTATGTCCACTAAAATCTTAGTAAGAAAATCCAACCACCTATCGGTTTATTGATTTCTTATATGTGAGGAATTGGTTTCTTGTTTCTTTAGGTATCTCAAAATTTATTTTTATTTTTCCATTTTTTAAGTTCCATTTCATTATGCGAATATTGCTTATCCATTCATGCATAGTAATAATATTAGAAGAACACTCATCATGTCAAATCTCTCAAGAAAATTTATATATAATTTAGAAGACAAGCCTAACATATTTAGTGGTCTATAATAGAAATTTTTATTCCAATCACATAGCTTTCTTTAGTAATATTTAAAGTTTTAAATAGATATTTCTTAATTTCATGTAATAGATCAAGATGACTATTGTCCTACACATCACCAAAATTATGAACTTACTCCCAACTGATCTTGAGGTATATAGATTTATGCTTTCTTAGAAACCAAATTACCTAATGGTTTCATCTTACTTTAGATACCATTTCTCAAGGTTTGTTTCAGTTCATAAATTAGTTTCTTTAGTTTGTAGACTATGTCTTCCTTTGTGCTTTGATTATGAAGGCTTCAAGTTGACACATACGTATTTACTGTAAGTCACTATTAAGAAAGACAATTATTTTATCCAACTCAAGATCGTACTGAGCTACTAAGACCATGATAATTCTTATGGAGTCTTATGGATGTCTTCTTTTCGATTAAAATATTTGGCTACAAGTCAGCTTTATGTCCACTACAGCAAATGTGAGTAATAATAGCATCAGATTGTAGCGTTTATGTACCAACATTTATTTTTATAGTGTTTTCAGTTTAAAACGTTATATTTGTTATCGCGGGAAAATAAAATTTTCAGCCGCCTAAATTTGGGAAGTGTAGACGTCTTACCATTGCATATCCAAAATTAAACTAAAAAAAAAAGCTTCTTTTCACATTTAAAACAAAAATTTTAAACTGAAGGCAAACTTAAAAAGAAATTGGTTTCATAACTGGCACGATATAAAAAAAAAAAAACTTAAAAGCAAGGAAGAAGAAGCTAGACAATGGCGAATTTCAGAAAAAGAGAATCTCAGAAAGTTGTTTAGAGAAGGATGTCGAGGAACGTAGCCGGCGTGGGAAAGAGAAGGACGGTGGTGAGTGTCCCGACATTTGTGTGCTTGCTGTAGATCTTACGGGAGTATGTATTTCATGCTTCTGGGTTTTTTGTAGGGGCAGAAACGACAGAGGCTGAGGATGTTAAAGAAGTGTTACTAGAGGAGTTATTTGCAACAGACCAGTTTCTAAGGATCTTGCAGGAAATGTTTGTAATTTGAGAAGTTTTGTTTATGCATGTATCAAGCTATCAATGTATGAAGGTATATACATGTAAGAAGCAATACATGTGTCAAGGTATACACACATAGACATATAATAGAAACACAATTCATCTCAAAACGCATATATATACTCCTAAAGAGAGTACATCAACAAACTGAAATTAAATTTACAATGTGCATCATGTTCATGTACACGAGTATATTGAGTAACCACATGGATAAGATCTTAGCTCGACATGTCCATGTGTGTTCCTATGTTTAAAGGTAGATGTTTTAATGATGTCTACATGTACATTGTTTTAACAGTATTCACACGTACACTATATATGGGAATCTACTCATGTCGTAATTATTTTTGGGAAATGTATGTTAATATACCAAGCAGCCAAAAAAACCATATTAAAACTTGATTCATGGTCGAAACTTTACAAGAAGTATAAATTCAAAAGATGTGACAAACATCAAATGTATCATCGATCATATAAAAGAGAAATAACTTGATTCCAAGATCGAAACTCCACAATCACATACACCAAAATCTGTAAGCTTGAGCACTATGTCATCAACTCCAGAGAAGATTTGAATCATACATCTCTTAATCTCCCGTCGATAGAGAACATATCCTCTACTGGTCATTTTTTATTCTTCTTCTTTTTCCAATCTTTTGGCATCCCAAATCATCACGGTTGCTGAAAAAGACCCACGACAGTGGCTAGAAGAAGTGCTATTGTGGCTGTGAATGAAGTGTAGTGAGCAGAGCCCACAATTCGTCAAATTCGTAATCGCAGATTTGTTTCGATCTTGAATTCTAGAATCATAATCTAGAGAGTTTATTGTCAAAGTTTAAGGTTTTTAGAATTTTCTGGGCAAAAAAAGATATAAAGCGAGGGAGATGAAAATGATGAAGTGGGATTAGATGATAGAATGAATCTGAACCATTCATAATAAAAGTACAGCAGTAAATCCAAAGATCAGAAATTAATACAGATATGTGTCTTGTTGATAAGGAATTTTAAGTTCCTAAGTCAAATGAATGTAGTATTTTAGATTGTCAATCCAATCCTAAGTTGTTTTAAGCAATGAGAAGGAAAATCATGAACTCAAGCTAAATGCAATCAAAGTTGTTTATAAGAATGAGTAAACAAAAGCAAATAGTATAGATAACTAAAGCTTTCAATCAAGTAATAAAGATGGAGCCATGGGTAAAGATTATTGATATAGGATGATCAAGCTTCAATCTAGGTTATTCAAGCAACACAATCAACAAATCTATAGGTCTAGAGCTCATACAAATAGATTAATCCATTGTTATGATAATAATTCCTTTGTAATCAAGTGCTAAGCATCAATGTCTTTAGCCTAATACTATTAAACAAGCAATAAGTTTAACTCTATTAACCTTCTACCAGTTTAGACATCCAATGTCTTTGGCCTAATCAAGCTAGAGGAATACTAAGTTCAGTCAAGCCTTTTAACAAACACCTGGTGAGCATGAAAAAGCTTAGGTTCTAAATCAACTTAATCAAGACTAATCTAGCATTAAGATCACTTACCAAAGCATAGATCTATGTTAATTTAACAAGAAACAACCTAAATATCCACTTAATCACCCTAATCCATCTAACCCATGAATCACAAAGTAGATCTACTCACTAGTAAACATGATTACTCTTAAACCCATGATGGATTCAAGCATAACCATTTTTAAAAGCAATCAAATCACTCAACAACACAAGATAAGATGAAAACTTTATTAAAGGGTCAAACTTTCACCAATAGGTTTTGTTTTTGAGAGTGAAAAGAGATAACTCAGTTTTTTAGGTCTAAAACATATTTATAGTAAGCTTAAACTCCGTCCTCGGTCAACCCAACAACTCTGGGCCGATCCAACTAAAGATGGGTAAAATCTGTTTTAGAAACAAGTTGCGTCCTGCTCTCTGCCGCGACCGAAGCTCGTGGTCATTTCAAGCATGCCGCGACCTCCTCAACACCGTGGTGACAGCCAGAGGTGAGCCATGTGAATCTCGTGCCCTTCACTTCCCGCGGTAACAGCCCGCGGGATTCTCTGGTGACTTTGCCATATTCGTCGTTGAGGATCCGTGAATCCATGGTCACCTTCCAGCTGCAGTGTCTCGCCCGCGGTGAACCTGGCCCGCCATGACCTTGTTTTGCCCGCAGTGGATAGCTAATTCTGCACCATTCCTTTCTCTTGTGAACGTTTTGAAGTTCATTCGGTCTCTAAGTCTGATTAGCACTTCTCCAAACCTAGAAACACATAAATGCAATGCAATGCAACCTAAACAAACTCTAAATACATTAAAATTATCAATATATACACAAAATAAATGATTAAAACTATGAAATTCATAAGATATCACTTGTCCATTGTGTTCTGATTTAATATTGGTCGTTGGATAGAAAGAGATATATGTGGTTGAGGTATGTTTCTACCTACACTCTTGTTTAGTTAGTTAGATGCATAATAGACTAGTTTAGTTAAGAGAGAGTGAAGTTGTTAGAAAAAACTCTCTTGGTAACACAAATTGTTATAAAAAATATAAAACTGTCTCTCAATATAATATTTTCTTATTTTAATACCGAGTTTTGCCTTCATTCTTCTTCTAGGTGGGGAACACATACTTTCTCCGTTTTTGATTAATTGTCATCCTAGCATAATTTTTTTTTTTTGCAAAACATATGTCCTTGTATATTTCTAATGCAATTTTTACTACTATTTTATTTCTTTTGTCCTAATTAAATTAAGATAAATATTAAATGTTATGTAATTGTAATGGTTAAAAATAAGATTAATTTGAACATTTAAATAGTTTTTTTAACTAGAACGATAGATAATTTGAAAGGGAGGGAGTATAAGTTAGCCGTGCTTACACTTTACAAACTAGTGACACATAGCAACAAATTAAATCATGCATGCCCACAACATTCACAAGGCATTTCAAGTATGAAGTCAATTGCAATATATATATGTATATATATATATATATAAAACAATCGAATCATTGGGGTTCGAGCTTTGAAGCTGGGAAATTCCCACTGTACTGGAACGAGTCCTTGCCATAAGGATCACCAGATCCTTTGATTGCTTCCTCGTACGTTGCCGAGGTCGATGCTGAATCCACGTTCGGGTTTAACCCCGCAAGCTGCATTATGTTCTCAATCTCTTTGACAACCTCACCCATGGATGGTCTGTTCACTCCTTCTTCCTCCACGCATCTCAGAGCCAAATCTACGTACTTCTCAAACCCTTTAAGGTTGCTGCTGCTTGCAATGATCGTTGTGTCCAATAGTTCTTGCAGGTCATACAAACTCCTCGATTTATTCATCTTCATCTTCACCTCTCTCACTACATATTTACCTTTTTCTATTGGACTTTTACCGGTTAATAGCTCAAGCATCACCACACCAAACCCATACACATCACTCTTCTCGGTCAACTGATTTGTCATGTAGTACTCAGGATCCAAGTAGCCCTAATTCCAGAGATATTGTGAGTTTAAATGTATATGATAAAGGGAGAAAAGACGATGATGATGATAATTCACTTCTACTCACCATCGTTCCTTTCACTTGTGTTGTCACATGAGTTTTCTCAGGGTCCCCCACAAGTTTGGAGAGGCCGAAGTCGGCAACCTTTGCAGTTAGATTTTCATCAAGTAATATATTATTTGATTTGATATCTCTGTGTATAATTGGAGGATCAGCAAGCTCATGAAGATAAGCCAGGCCCTTCCCTGAACCAAGTGCTATTCTGAGCCTTCTTATCCAATCAAGTCTTATCCCAGTCTTCCCTGTATTTTTAAAATATTCAGCACCCAAAAACTATTATAACTCCTTGACGAAATAGGTTTTGGTATATTACCTGAGAGACTGTCTCTAAGAGAGCCATTTGGAATGTACTCGTATACAAGCATTTGTTCACCTCGATCAAAGCAAAAACCTATGAGTCTGACAACATTTTTATGATGGACCCTTGAAAGTAGTTCGATCTCAGTTTTGAATTCCAGCCCTCCTTGCAAAGATCCTTGTTGAGCTCTTTTGATTGCAATGAGTTGACCCGAGGGAAGAATCCCTCTGTACACCTATTTCACCATCACATATGGGATCAGAATTTCATTTCAATTGAAAGGCCATTGACCTTTTGTATTTTAGGCCACTGACCTTGCCATAACCTCCACCCCCAACATCATTTGCCTCTGAAAAGTTGTCTGTACATTTCTTCAACTCTTCAAAAGTAAAAGCTTTTGCTCCCATTAGCTGCGGAGCATCAATACTGCTCTTGCTCGTACTCCACTTGGCTGAAACATACAAAAGAGAAGCAGTCAGCAGTTTCAGTCTAAGGGATAAATCTTATAGTAAAAATTTTATCCCTCGTACCGAAAGGATTATTTTGATCAGTTGCTCTGTCTGCTCTCTTCCTCTGCCGGAGAGCATAAACCCCAGCTAGAGTTAACAACAACAGAAGAACCACCCCACCAACTGCTGCTCCGATTATAATGCTCATGTTTGATGACTTAGAACCTTCTCCATCTGTGGAAAAGAAAACGACAGAGCAAATGAGTCGTATTGAACCAATATACATTGGGGTTTGACTGTTTGTATTGAGCATACTAGAGAACTGAGTGTAGGGATCGGCTATGAAAATGTAAGGGCCAAATATAGGAGGAGGCTTATAAGTCTGGTTGCTAAAGGCAAAATTAACAAGTAGCATTCCCGTCTCATTAAAACTCTCTCTGCCCAATGGAAAGACTAAAAGATCTATTAGAAGCTGATGATCTGTTGCGTTCTCTCTAATGTTTCTGACAGCTACGGAGTCCACTGGATAGCTGAACTTGTTGAAGAAACCAGCTATATGCTTCTGAAGAATTTCAAAGTTGGTCGAGTTGAATAACCCTGAGAAGGAAGGAGCCCTGAAATAGAATGTTCCTGTGAATGGATGCGCACAGCGACACGAAGGACTCGCTTCCCTGCCCTGATCACACGGAGAACAGGTTGTTGGAATGGTAGAATAAGAAGTATTGTGTGGGATTGCTGAGCAGTAACTTGGACTGTTACCCAGCTCCTGGCACACTGGATTATCTGCCAATCTGTAGATTAATAAACAAAATAAGCTAATGATTGATGAAACAAACAAACAAAAAAACAATTTTGATTTCTGACCAGGATACATACATTACTTGGATGCGTGTGTTAGAAGATGGTTGTCTATAAACATCTATGTTATTGTATTGTAAATCAACAAACTCCAACTGGTTGCTATAGCTGGTACCAAAGTCTAACGTTGAATCTATCCGATTCCTCTTTAGGATACTGAAGTCAAAAAGGTATAATAAGTACATATGTCGCAGCACTGTGTTGATTTCAGTTTCACATATTGTTTGACTCACATTGTCTGCAACTGAGGAGGGCTGAAAAATGAGTTTGGTATTGAACCATTAAGTTGGATCCCTTCCATCCTTCTGCAGAGGAGAAGACATTTTGTTCTTAGAAAGTAAAGGCATGGATATCAAGAAGAAAGAGAAAGGAAATGCTCATACAATGTTGCCAAGGAGCGTAATGAAGAGATCCATGATGGTATAGGTGAGGCTTCCAAAGTGTTATTGCTTACATCTCTGTTATAAAACAATCACATTATGGCAATTAGATTGTTTTGTTTAATAACGAAGGTTTGAGAAGAGTAGTAACTGTAAATTGAGCAGTAGAAGAGTAAGATAAATATAATAATAAAAATTTTTACCAAAAAAAAAAATATAATAAAAAAAATCTTACAATGTGTAGAGACTGGTCAAACTGCTTAAATTTGGAAGACTACCTGTAAATTCGTTGTTGGCCAAGTACCTACAATGCATTTAACTAGAAACTGTTTCACCTCTTTCTATATATATTTACAAACACAGTACACAACTTTAGTTGCTCACTTACAGTTCTTGAAGATTTGTGAGATTATTAAGACTTGTAGGAATATTGCCAGTAAGTTTATTCCTATCAAGACGTCTGTAACAGAGAGTAAACAATATAGAAATTTGGGTAAAGAAAAAAATTGAAAAGAATGTTGAAATAAAAAATGAAAAGAATTTACTACTTACAACACCGTCAACGTTTTAACGAGGCTAAGGGTGTCTGGGATTTCCCCCGTGAAGTTGTTCCCATCGAATAGTCTATGGACAAAACAACAAACAATGCAGTCACTTTGTCAGTTGTACCTCGAAACTTGTGCAGAACTCTCAGCATTCATAAATATGAAGCTTACACATGTATCAAAGTCATTTTCGAGCTGAAAAGTGTTTTTGGGATAACACCCGAAAGCTTGTTTTTTCCAAAATGACTGCAGGAGGAAGTGAGGAGAGTCAGGCTAATTAGTATACTAAAACCGGTGCCTATATAAAAATAATTTAAAAACTCTGAAGTGATTTGGAGTATATACAAATGCTTAGTTTCAAGAAGCATATCAAGTCCAGGGGAAGAAGTCCCATTAGAAACTGGAAGTGTTCCTTCAATCTGATTGTCAGCTATATCAAACCAATATAGGTTCGATAACCGTCCAATGGAAGCTGGAATTGTTCCACTAAATTGATTTATATTCAGGGAGCTGTACGGAAGAAACACAAATTAATGCCATTAAAGAGGCTTGATATCCCAAAGTGAAAAGAGACATTTTCTATTAATAAGAAGAAACATCTTACAGATATATAAGTTGTTCAAGATTTCCAATGGACTCAGGGATTTGACCAGTGAAACTACACGCCACAAGGATCCTGGAGATTACAAAACAGTTGGTTATAATAGGAAAGTAGACAAGGAGATATATTTTTTTTTTGCTAAAAGACAAGGAGATATATTAATCCATGACACAGTCGTCTATGTTTAAAAGGGTGCGAGGTAAGGCAAGGCAAGGCGACTAAGTATTAGAAACACGCTCCAAGCCTAGGCGAATGCTCAGGGTAGTCTTTGGTATCTGAGGCACAGCGACACAAGAAAAGTATTAGGTTAGTTATCTTCATAATCCCTAAACAATGTTGGCATTATTTGTGGTTCTAAAATCATGTCTCTGATCACATATTTGTAGAAAAAAATAATTAATTTGTGGAATGAAATTTTTAATTTGATTGGAAATTTTTTTCGGAATGGCTTATAGTTTGATAAAACAGAGAAAGAGCAATCCGATAAACGTAAAAGCCATGAGTCTGAAACAAAGAAATGATAATAAAGAAAAATTCAATCCAATCAAAGTCAAACTGTTTAAAACTCTAAAATTCCATAGCATTATCATCATCATACTCATCAGCTTCCATAAACAATCCAGTACCCTCGTCTTCTCAAAAATCTTAATCAGTTTCCATTCTCATAATGCTCATCAATCAACATTATTTATGTTGGAGAATGGAGATGACCTTTGAGATGCTCTTCACTTACAGAGTGAAGACTTTTTGCAACGAGTTATGGTTGGAAACTTGAAAATAGTTAATAAGGTCTTTAAGTATATTCTCACGGGTTATTACGTTTTGAAAACGTAGAAAGTAACTAAACATTTGTAATCATATTACCGAAAAATCCCAACGCAATATGACGTTTTATGGAAGATCTACCTTTTTCTGAGTCGTGCGAGCCGTGGGAGGTGTAAGGCGGTATGAAGCGTTACTGATCGAGCGCTTTTCTGAAATAGCATAGCCTCATCTATGCTACACGATGGATGCTGAGCCTTGCCTTGCCTTGAGCCTAGGTGCGCCTTTTAGTACACAGAAAGTGATCTAGTTTGCTTACAAGTTTTTCAACTTCTTAAGTTCACCGATATTTGATGGAAGTGGTCCAGTCAATCCAATGTTGTACGACAAATCCCTAAGAGTAGGATCCTAATATGAGAAAAAATAAATATCTAAAGAAGAACATAGAGAAGAAGAAAGGCATACAAGATCTGCAATTCAGACAAGGTTGCAATATCACTTGAAAGCTTTCCTTCCACGTCAAGGTTACCTAGCGATCTGCAACAAGCAGCAACATAACATTAAAACTCTGCAAATGATTATTGGAAAAAGCAGAAAATAATCACAAACAAGTCGTACATTGAAACAACGCGGTCATTGGAACATGTAATTCCAACCCAATTGGTTCCACAAGGATCAGCACCTTTCCAACTTTCAGGATACTTTGTCCATTCAGCCTTCAGAGCTTGTAAAGCAGAAGCTACACAAATGTTTTTCAGAAAATTCAAAGATTTTGAAATTCTTACATCTAAAAACGCTGATCAGGATCTATTTAATTATTCTTACCGTCAAAACCATTTGTGAGAGCAGAAACAGAAAAAAATTGGAAGCCTAGCAAGATCAGGAGCATAAAGGCTCCATTTCTTGAACTCATCTTCAAACCAACAAAGAAACTCTTTCCTCTTCCTCTGCTTTTAATTGTAACTCAAAGAAAAAGTCATGTGGTCGACACAAGTTATGAATTGTTTGAATAAAAATTACAGCCTCGCTTTCAAAACATGTAGACAATAATGCTAGCAAAAAGAGAAGACTTTGAACAGTTTAGTGAAGAGCATATAAAAACTTGGTCAACTTGAAACAGCCGATTATGAGATTACAGAAAATTTCAATTCAATTGGGTAATGGGAAGGAACAAATCATGAACAATACATTAAAGAAAACATATGAGTTGTCATGATGCAAAACTAGCGTGGGGCCTCTACATATCTAACTAAATTAAATACTCATTATTGAATTTAAGAACACCAAAAAATATCGCCTAGTGTAAAATTTGTTTGTCCAAAACGTTTGATTATCTCACAGAAAAAGGACCTCGTAGAATTGGAGTCGTGGTCAGCGACTAAGCGGCGATACAGTTTTTCTTTTTAAACAACATAGAATATATAGTATGTCGAACAGAAAAATGTATGGTCGAAGAAAAATTCAGCACAAGCGTTTACCAACAACTTTTTGATTAGATAATGCTAATTGCAAAAATGATGATGCTTATGATTTGATGATATATTGACCAAAACTCCTAAATTAATTATAGAATAATCGAGTGGGTATGAAACACATATATAATTTACGTAATAATTCGGTTATAACAATTGATAACTATTGTTTGTTTGTTAACCGGAGCCTCCAGCTCTTGTGATAAAGAACTCACAGTTGTGGTACTGCCACCTAGATTCGAATCCAGTCACTTGGATCACTTTAAATGGTAAAAAAACGTGGATTCTGCAAGTCATATGGTAATTAGTCTTTGGACCTAGAAAGTGATATGATCCTGAAAAACAAAGGAATTAAGGAGATGGAACAGCTAGAACAAAGCTTAAGAAAGCAAAAGATAGAACCATGGATGGACCTGAGTGGATACAGCCTTATGGATGCATTTCCGTGGATGCCCAAAAGACAAGAATCTAGGGGATGGATCTGAGTGGATGCAAAACCGTGGATGCATTTCCGTGGATGTCCCAAAAGCCAAAGATCTAGACGTACCACGGTCGAATGACTAGATCGAAGCAATTAAGATTCCATCAAGCTTTTCATCAACTTTTATACACTATCCAGAGCAGTATAGAGTGTGCTTATCGAACCACTCTGGTTGTGATTCAAGTCATCTAAGACATTCATCAAGAGAGGTGTTGTGACTTGCACTCCTTTCCTTGGTTTGGTTTTGTCACGAGGCTTGGACACAACACTTATACAAAAACCTCTTGATGAAACCATGCCAATTTCTCTTCTTATTTTCGTCCAACTAGACACGAGTAGCCTTTTTTCCTTTTTCAAATTTAAACATAGTCTTTATTTTAATTGTTTGTGTGTTTCCAAGAAACTGTGCATGTGCAGTCTTTTTCTCTTTATTTTTTGGACGAAATTCCTAAATAAGATCACCAAACTCTTTTCTAAAAACCCAAGAATTCTCTGAATCATGTTTGATCGTTGTTTGTCTTGTTTATGTTTTTTTTTTATTTCAAATCTGCATTCACAAGCAAACCCAAGATAGTCTGAGAGCCATTCCCCAACTCTTCAAAGTATCATCTCAATCCACTGCTTATTTCATTATCACAATTGTTGGAGAGCATTCAAGGACGTGATCCTTTCACCCAGAGTCATATTAAAAAGTTTTTGGAATCACACCATAGTTATAAAAAAAAATTGTTTGTTTGTTTAAGAGTTTTAAGTTCTTTTGTAATTTATACGTATAATACACTACAAAAAGGGGTATTCATAGCATACAAAACTAGCATGGATTTTCAAACTGCTATGATAGATATATTTTTCTATTTTGGGACATATTCATAGCATTAACTTAATGCTGTCGTGATCAATTCGTAAAGCGGGAATAAACAAGCACGCATACCGCCTATACTTAATGAAATTTTGAGAACCGTGAAATACTAAATTAGTTCCCTCCTTACTGTAATACTTATTCTACATAAGAGGAAAAAAATTAGTGTTGACTTAGAAAGTAAAAAAAAAATAGAGTCACGAGAGAAGAACTCTCTCGAGAAAAAATCCTTATCCCGTCACCGCAACCCTATCTCCCACCGATCAACTCCTTGAAAGCTCGATCTCGTGCTCTGTAACCGGATATAATCTTCAGCTCAAGTCAATTTGAGGAGGATCAAAGTTTGTAATCCAATCGAAGGTAGAGAATTAGGGTTTCTTTTCTTTGATTTCTCATGTTCCCCCGATTTGGGGTTTCTTTAGTTTGAAGTTTTTTACTTTCACAGACATTTGATTGAAGTTCTTATCTCGCACATGCCTTTGATTGACCGATCATCTCTAGTAAATTCTGCTTCACTCTTTCTTTTGAGTCGGACGAGGAAGAAACCCAGCGGTGGAGAGGTCAGATTTTTTTCTCTCTCTCTCTCCATATCTCTATCTATCCTTCACTCTCTCTTTTGAATTTGACTGCGTTTTGACAGAGGCGAACCCAGAGCGGAGCTTCTCTCCCTCAGTAGCGGAGGCTGAGAAGACAGAGGAAGAGGAGGACGGCGGTGAAGATATAGGTTAATTCGTGTTATCTTTCTCCTTACTCTTGTCTCTCTCGATTTCTCAAAATCAGATCCGCCTTATACCAACTCGTGATTTCTAACCCCTCAGGTTTGTATTCGATCTCGAATCTTCCTCAAAAACTTTAGCTGTATCACTAAAGAGCCCTAGTTTTTGATGGCTAACTTGAATCTCGATGTGTATTTTTAACTCCTGAGCCATAGGTGGAACCGAGGAATCGTTGAAGAAGAAACCAGAAAATTCCCCGAGTTGACTCTTAAGGTTCACGAAGTGAAAAAAGACAAGCTCTTGCTTATCTCCTAAAGAAGCTCAACACTGAAGGAAACTTCCTCGTAATCTAAAGTAGGTTTATATTGTATCAGTTTTTTTTTATATTCTTTGATTTGCTTCCGCAGGTGAACTTTGTCTATATTGACATAAATAAATAAAATAGATATGTCATTCTATCTTCTCTAGTAAGCCAAGGGTGTTTGGTTACTAGAATAAGCATGTTCTCTCTTTCTTTATAACTCATTGTAGTGACATTTTTCAGATCTAAGGAAAAAGAAGTTCCTCTTTACTTTACTCTTTTCTCTCATCTCTCTCTTGTTCTTTCACTTTCTTACATGGTATCAGAGCCTTAAGCTCTTGATTACTTAATTCTCTTCCGCGATTTCACTCTGATACTCTTTCTTCCTTGATTCATCAGTTTACTTTTTCAATTTTCTGTTTAGATCTACTTTATTCAGTGAATAATAAATCAGTGTTCTTGAGTTTCTTTTTATTTTATTTCATAGGCTGAAGATGGAGCAATATAGACAAGTAAAAATTCCAGTTGTTCTCAAGAGAGGAGAAAACTATATTACTTGGTCTAGATTGACCAAAATAGCTCTTGGAGGAAGAGGTCTTTGGGAGCATGTCACTTCAAGTACAGCACCAAGAGAAATCACCCAAGGAGAAGATGGCAAGAAGATTGTAGTGGTAGCTGAAGGCAAATGGGGTCAGGAAGATCTCATGGTGTTGTCTATCTTACATAGCTCACTTGATGGTTCTATCATGGATTCGTATTCACACTGTGAAACTCCAAAACAGTTGTGGGATACCTTGAAAAATGTGTATGGCAATACTTCAAATCTGACCAGAATCTTTGAAATGAAGAGAGCCATCAACAATTTGCAGCAAGAAGAGATGGACTTCACCAAGCACCTTGGGAAGTATAGTCAGCTGTGGTCTGAACTGGAAATGCTAAGACCAAGCACTAATGATCCCAAAACTCTTGAGGAGAGGCATGAGCAAGACAAGATCTTTGGTCTTCTTCTCACACTCAATTCAAACTTCAATGATGTGGTTAAACACATACAGAGAGCTAAGGAGCTCCCAAGCTATGATGATGTGTGTGCTCAACTTCAAAAGGAGATTGGCTCGGATGGTCTCTTTGGGGAAAATGAGAGCTGTCTATGGTAAACAAGGCTGAGAAGGTGGAAAGTGCAGCAGCTAACAAAGCTCATTTCAAACCAAGGGGAGGAGGAGACAAGCAGGTGACGTGTGAGCATTGCAAGAAGCTGGGACACTCCAAAACAACCTTCTGGATTCTCCACCCTCACCTCAGACCAGTGTCTTCCATCAAGTACAACCAGGAAGCAAGAGCTCATGAGTACACTGGTGGTTCCACCTCTCATGCTATGTCCCAGCCATCTCCTGATGATGAATTCATCCGCAAGTCAGACATTGAGGCCCTTATAAAGTCTCTCAATGCAAACTCTGTTAACACTAGTATTAGTACTTTAAATTCCATTCTCAATGAATCTCACACTGCTACACTTTTGATCATTGATTCATGAGCTTCTCATCATCTGATTAGGGATACTAAACTGATTAGTGATGCAACGCCAGCTCTAGGCAGTGTAGAAATCGCAAATAGTGATAGAATACCCATAGAAGAAATAGGAAATCTGAAACTGTTTAGTAAAGAATCTCAAGCTCTTTACATGCCCACCTTCACTTCAAACTTATTATCTGTTAAGAGAGCAACTAATGATTTAAATTGTAATGTTGTTTTCAGTCCTAGTGATGTTTGCTTTCAGGATATTAAGACAAGTAAGATGTTGGGAAAAGGTGTGAGCAAGGGAGAGCTATATTTGCTTGAAGACACCAAAGTTTCAGATTTATCCTGCACTTTTAATTATGCTTCTGTTTTAGCTAGTGATGTGTTATTGCATGCTAGATTAGGTCACCCTCATTCTCTTGCCTTAGGTCTGATGTTACCTAATCTATCGTTTAAGAATGAAAGTTGTGAGGCTTGTATTCTTCGTAAACACCAGAAATCCGTTTTTCCTAAATCAATGACTATTTACGAGAATTGTTTTGATCTTGGGCACTCTGATGTTTGGACTG